AAAAGAGGATCTGTACGGGCCTAAATCTGCAATTCTATGGAAAAAACAAGTATTTTTAGGTATGTAGCTTTTAAGAATTAAGAGGCAATGTTATAGCCTGTAACAACACTTTGATGCAGGAAAAAAGGGTAAGGCAACATTAAAAGAATATTTAAAACAACAAAAAAACCCCAAACCAAAACAAAACAAAAAAAAAAAGCATGGTACCTTGGCTACAGCCTCCAACAACGAGCGTGTGGATGTTACAGGATTTGGGGTTTTTTAATGGTATTACCACGTCTGATCACACCAATATATGATTTTAATTAAGCGAATGGCGGGCGAGCTGTCGTGGGGAGCAGGCGAGCAGCGATGGCTTCTTCCCATTCCACTCCGGCTGCGATGATAAATCAATCCTCCTCGTGCGTTTGGGACTTTTTTTTTTTTGGTGGTGTTTTTTTTTTTTTTTTTTTTCCCTAAGCACTTTTGGGGATTTTCCATGCCGTGAGGAGACCGGGAGATGGCGGCTTCAACCCCTGCGAAGGAGAAAAGCGGTGGAAAAGCGAAGAATTAGGCATAAAACTACCCAGCTTTTGGGGGTGTGTGCGGTGATGATGAAGGGAGGGGTGGGGGGGCATGTGGAAAGCGCAATACAGGGCCAAAACCTCTCAGCTGTGAGGGAAAAAAAAATAACATTTTAGAGGTATAATTGGGGGAGCGGGGGCGAGCTGAGGTGAGGGGAGAAACCGGGAGCTCCGCCATGGCCGAATAAAAATGCGCATTTCTGGCTATTTTCACATCCTTTCGCAAAGGTGGCGAGGAGAAAAGGGCGGGGGGGGGGGGGGGGATAAGAAGAAGGTCAGGTTTCACCCGCAGCGCTTTCGCCGCCCGCCCGGAGGGGATTCCCACAGGATCAGAGCCCTCCGCTGTGCCCACACCGCTCCCCGCCCGCCGCCATTTTGTCGCCTCAAAGCCGCTCCCGCGGCCCCGCCGGGCGGCCATTTTGTGAAGCGAGCGCGGGGGGGCAGCGCCTGAGGGGCCGTGAGGGGCCGCCCTGGCCGGCGCCGCCTTTTGTCACCCCAAACCTTCCTTTTCCTCCTCGTTTTATCTTTTTTTTCTTCAGGAGTTTCTCATTTTCCTCACGAAACACTTCGTGCTTAACTCCCCGCCTAGAGCCCCATCGATTCAGCAAAAAAACAACCAATCAATAAAATTAAAAAACCAACATACTCAGATGATGCAATCCAATAAATGACATTAAAGCATATTCCTCAGCTTGGCTGTGAGGGAAAGTGTAGCACGGAGAATTAAGGTATATATTATTATATACATATTTATTCCCCTTCCTTCTCCACTTTTTTTCCCCCTAGTGATAAATTCCTGATGTCAATAATCCACCTTGACAAAGGGGATAACCTCTTCGAAAAATATCCACGTTTTTATTTCAATACAACACCTCACTCACACTGCTTTACTGGACATTTCATCAAAATAAAGATATAACTTAAACCACTTGAAGCCAAATCTGGGTGAAAATTGGTAATTTTCAGGAAATAGGGCTGCAGGATACTGTAATCACTGATACGATGAAGGAAATCTGGGATATGAAATAGCAAACCCCTGCTCGCAGGTGTGTGCTGTGTGTCTGTTCACAGAAATAGGGTGGGTTGGGCTTTTTATCCTTTATTTTATAAAGCAGCCAGTATAGCACTGGCAGCCTGGTAACGCGCTTGCGCACTCGCCTCATCTCTTTCTCCTCATGCTATCAAAATCAATGTATTTTAAAACTACGTTGTGGCAGTGGGTGGTTCAGTTTTGCCAGGAAAACCGGGGATAAATGAGAATATTAGCATACAGCTTTTTTTTTTTTTTCCTTTTTTTTTAAAATACATATCTCACCTGTGCTGCATCAGGAGAAATCCACGCTTGGGCTGTTCCTTGTATAATCCTGGCTGGTGTTTGCCTCTCCCAGAATCAGCAGGATCCGACCACTTGTCATTTAAGAAATGAAATTTTTTTAGGCTGTGTCAAAGGAATGTGTAGAAAATAGGTCTGAATGCTCTGTGGGGAAGAACAACGCTGCAGGGAGCTGGCTGGGATGGCACTTCCAGTAACCTGGGATCCAAAGGAAAAAACACCCCAGTTGTCCTGCAGCTCTTTCTATCTTATTGGAGAAAAACCTGCAGCACTCAGCCTCGCTCCCAGCACCTTTTCCAGCCCCTTTATCTTCCCACTATCCTTGCACCACACTACAAATCTTCCATTTTCCAAAGAAACCTACCAAAAGGTTGGTTGTTTTTTTTCCACGAAGCAGCACTTTAACCACCGATTCAAAACCACTACAAGCTGTGCCTGGCAGCTCCTCCTTCAATTTAAAACCTCTTTTTAAAAACCAGGCAGTCCTTTGAGTTGTAAAAAGATAACCTTTAGGGGTTTTTTATGGGACACACGGTTGTATTCCTGGGAGCATGTTGGCCTCGCAGCAGAGGGAGAGATCAGATGCCTTCACTGGGAAAGCCCAAGGAAATTTTATCCGCGGGCCGCACCCAGCCTGAAGTGAGGAAATATTTGCATTTGCTGCTCCTTGGAAGGCAGCCAGGTCCTTCCCGCTCTCTCCAGCCTGCCAAGAAGGATTGCAAGAGCTGATTGCAGTAGCCAAGGGAAGGGCTGGAGCCATCCGGAGCCATCCTCTCTGCCCTTGGCCACTGCCACAGGGACAAGAGGAGGCACTTGGAGTGGGGTGGTCCAAGGTGGGCCCGGCCCCCCAAAATGTTATTTTCCGAGGCAGGATGTGTGGTGTGGTTGGTTTATTTCTGCAGACCCGGGTGCTTGCAGAAGATCTTGTGACGGGGTGAGGAGCCCAAGGACAGGCTGAGCCCCTGCAGCCGGTCTGGGTTTGCTCGGCAGCGGGATGGGATCCAGCTCCTGCAGGATCTCCTGCATGCGGCTCAGAATTCCTCGAGCTCCTCTCAAGGGAAAACACGGGGCTGTGCTTTTCAGGCACAATGCTCCCCACGCCTCAGCTTGTACTGCTTCTCCCTTTATCTGGGAAGAAGATGCCTTAAATCAGCCTTTTTGTTCTCTTACCTGTGTCCGTCTATCCCTGTCCCTTGTCACCCTCCACTCCTGAAATATCACGTCAAGTCTGACCACACCACATCCCTTCACTATGCTGCCAAACACTCCAGTGCTGCCTTTCCTTTCTCCTTGCTTTCCAGGACCTTCTCCAAGGCTGCCTGTAAATAAAAGCATTTCCCTGCCTGTCTCCAGCCAAAAATTTTGCAGTCCCAGTGCCAACTGCCCGTCCTGGAAGGCTCCAAGGGGGAAATACTCAACTCCTTCCCACCATTCCTCTGTGGAAGGGTAGTGCAACTTGGAATAACACATCCAAAACACCACTCAGCATTGTACTTCCATCCTTCCCAAAAACCTTGAGTGGAAAAATAACTGTATTACAAAAAGCAAGCAGCTCTTTGCCCTCCGGGCCTTCTTTTTCCTGCTCCCTTTGGCCACTGCCACATCCTTTTACTTTTTTAGCATCATTTTGATGCCAGATTTTCCTCACAGCGCAAGAAGCTTTGGAAAGTGAGAGCTGACTTGGAGCACAGGAATTCCCTGGCATGGGGCAAGGAGTTCCCACCCAACTGGACCCAAAGCCACCAACTTACGTGACCGAGACAAACCACAACTTTTTATAAATACCTTTAAAGCAAGTTGTGACCTGATTGATGGCCCGGAGATGCTCATTAACAAACACTGAGTAATCAGCTTTGTAGACAGGGAAGAGTCATCAGGAAATAGTTATTGATGTGATTAATTAACCATCATTAACCCCTTCACTCATAAACACAGCACACGCCGGAGATGTTGTATGTGATCCAGGAGCTGCTGGTCTGGTGGTTGCTTTCTTTGTTTACAGCTCCCATTTTCCATCAGGAGAGCATTAAACATCATCTCACATGCTCTTGCTATTTTCTGCTCTTGATTTGTGGCTTTTTAAACACTTTCGGTTAAAAAGAAAGTTAAAAAGTTTCTCCGCCTGGTTTGCAACGCCCTCGCAAACAAAACCACCAAGCACCGGCAACATCGGTTGTGCAGATGTTGGCCACGCAGAGAAATGATCTAATTTCTGCTGGTTTGAGGTCTGGATGAGAGGAGATCAAAAAGTTTCCACTGGCAGAGCGATATAATATTGGATAATACGCAGAAAAGGGGCTGTCCGTCTTTCCCAGCGTCCCAGCCCTGCGGGATGCTTTTAGCTGGAGTTTTTCTGCCTGATGGAGGAATCTGTGCTCCGGCTGCCCTCTGCCGGCTCCGGGATAGATAGTCAGCAAAAAAAACCCCAAACCACACCAAAACCCCTTTTATCAACTCCATGAAACACTGCCAGATCCCATATCCACCCCAAAAAACAACACTCGGCTCTCCCCTCAGTGACAGCATCATCTGCCACATCATTACACCCTAGAATCAACTTTTGTGGGCCTTAGTTATGGACCAACTCTCACCACGCCTAGAAAATCCAAAACCAGATTTTTTTTCCTTATTTTTAAACTTGGATTTGATAGGTTTGGAATGCAGGGTGGATGAAAGGAATGAGAGTTTTTAAACTCGGGGTTTTATTTAACTGCAAGTAACTAAATCAGTGCCCGCTCTCCACAGAGAGAAACATTTCAGTGAAACCCCAAGGAAGCTCGAGAAGAAAGAAACACCACCCAAGAAAACCAAACTGGCCTTTGGAAAACGGAGTTTTAAAAAAAGAAATAAGGAATAAAACCTCCATTCCTCATTGCTGCTCTGTCAGGGCATTTTAGATTTATCACGAGCACAGAGCTGTGTCGGGGCATATCCAGAATTCTCCACTCTGCCAACCCAGGTCAGGGTCCTGGGGACATTTTGGTGATGAAAACCGAGTTCTGCAGTAATTTGGGGGTGCAGCAGGCACCCATGGGATGCATCCCACTGGGGACACCCCCTGTTTTCGTGCCTGGCACTGGAAGGGGTTGGTGAGCTGCAGGGTCTCAGCAGGACGACTCATTGCGCCAGTGGATGTGGCAGGACTTGCAGAGGAGGTGGTCATCCAGGGGGTAACACCCATTCTCTGTCAGCTCCGGTGACAGGGGCATCCTGCAGCTCTGGGGGCAAGAGGGGAAAAGGAAGCCACCTTTTAGGGGTCCCCGTGTGTGTTACATCCTATTTACCCCGCAAAACCCACCAGCACTCCGAAAAAGCGACAAACTACATCAAAAGCATGCAAAGCTGAAGAAGTTCTCCAAACACCACCCAATTTACTTAATTTCCCCCTTCCCATTACCTATAAGATAAACTGGGGGCTAAAAACCAGTTGTGGGTGCTGCCATCCCAGTGTCCATGCTCAGCTAAGGTTCAGTGCCACCCCCTGGGCTTTGGGGGCCCCCCATTCTCCGGGGCCGTACCTCGCAGCGGTAGCAGCTCTCGTGGAAGCTGCGTCCCAGGCACTCGATCTTGTAGGTGTCCTCGTCCTCGTGGGGGACAATGGGGCGCTGGCAGGCGCTGCACACCACGGCGTATTTCCTGATGGGAGCAATGGGGGCGGCGTGAGCCCTGTGGGGTGACAGGGACGAGGCAAACCCAGCTCCCAGTGTGGGACACCCTCCGCCATGACCAACCTGTAGTAGTCAGGCACGCAGTACACGTCACCCTGCTCATCCAAGGCGAAGCTCTCCGTGCCGATGGCCCGGCCACAGGCAGCGCAGGAGAAGCAGCTGGGGTGGTAACCCTTGCCCAGGGCACGGACAATGTGCTCCGTGATCAGCCCCTGGCACTTGGCACATTTCTCCAGCGTGGCCTGGAATTTAGGGAACACATGCCGTGAGACAGCAGCCCACGCCCCGAGGGATGTTCTGAGGGTGCCAGTTTCCCCAATGGAGGATGGGTACCTGGAAGCAGGCGTCACACGTGGGGCACCCGTCTCTCTGGAAGTAGCGCTGCCCAGCCAGGAGCCGGCGGCACGTGCGGCAGGTGAAGCAGTCAGGGTGGTACTGCTTCCTCATCGCCTCCACCGTCGGCTCCCGCGCCCCCAGCGCCTTGTGGCAGAAGGCACAGATGTCTGCAAGAAGCAGGGAGAGTGGTTGGGGGCTGTGTGCCTCAGTTTCCCTCAGTAGTGATGAGCCCATGCACAGCTGGGTCTCCCTTACCTCTGGAGCTGTCCCTCCCCGGGTCCCCATTCACATCCTGCCACTGCTGCTTGCCTGCTTGCTCCTGGGAAAATGTGGGTGGCTTCAGTTCAGCAGGGAAGGTGGAAGGGGCCTGGCAAGCAGGGAAGGGCAAAGCCATGTTAGTTATACCCTGCAGGTGGGGAAACTGAGGCACTGGGGGGACTGCACTCTGTTATCCTCACCTGGAGGGTGGCGGGTGCTGCAAGGTCCAGTTGCTGCAGTGCCAGACCCAGCGGCTCCATGGACAAGGGCTGGGGCACCTCAGAGAGGGGCAGGACTGGTGGGGATGCAGGTACAGGGGCCACCGTGTGGGTTTCTGCAGCAACAGGCAGATGTAGGGGTTTAAGGGGATCAGCAATGTCCAGTAACACCCCATCAGAATATCAGGGTGTCACAATAACACCCCAACAGCTTTGCAGCAGCGCTCGCTGACCTGCCCCAAAAGCAAACGCCATCGAAGCAGGAGGGACAAACAGCACCGATAAGCACCTGGCAATGGAGAGCAAACAGAGCCCGTCCCCAGGAGCCGGATCCGTGCTGGGATGTGTGCAGGGGTTTGGGGAAGAGCCCCCCATAAAATACCCCCACATCCCCTTCTGCACGCACGACCTTCAGCAAAGCATCTCCACAGCCTCCTCAGCCCCATCGCCATCCCTCCACACCGCTCCAGCCCCCATGGACGCCCCTCACCTCCGTTGGGTAACTGGGGGGGTGACAGCAGGATCTGGGGCTGGTGGGTGCCAGGGACCTCGGCACCACCTGCCTGCGGCTCCCGCTGGGTTTTCTCCTTGGTGGCCACGTCCCTCCGTGGTGGCACGAGGGTGATGAAGATGGATGAAGCGATTCTTTTCTCTGCTTTCCCTGGCAACATCGCTGAAGCCATGGAAGGGCCGGATCGGGGGTTGATTCTAGGGAAAATAAGAAAGAAAGAGAGTAAAACTCGCAGGCACGCTGGCAGCTCCTGCAGCCCTGCTGCCCTTCGGCATCAACTCGCTCCCTCCTCCCGGAAAGGGAGAAGGAACGAGTGTCCCCTCCCACGTCACAGCAATAAATGGTCTCATGCCTGGGAGGACACAGGGTACAGAGTCCTGGCGAGGCAGCAGCTGATAGCGTCCATTTTCACACCTCTGTGGCCAAATCCCACCTTTTCATAAGTATTTGCATCCTCTGTGTTTCCTCTTATTGCTCCCACCCACCTGGGACTAAATTCCCCATGGGCAGCAGGAAGTACCCACCTTTCCTTTTAAAAAACAGAACTGCTATAGGATTTTGCTTTTGGAACCCCTTTTTTGAAATTTTCTACATCCCCACTCCCTCTCTCCTTACCCCCAATTCCCTGCCAATCACTTCCAGCCCTGCACTTCTCCCCTTTTATTTATCCAGGTGGGAAAACTGAGGTGCAGTGCTGTGATTCATTCACCACGTCCCTGACACTGTCACATCCCTGAGCAGCACCCGGCAGCACAGGCAGGATGCTCCCGACCCCGAGAAACCCTGCTCAGGAAGGAAAAGGGCTGTTTATCCGACTTCCCAAGGGGAAAAGCAGCTGGGGCGAAGCTTCCCCTTCCCAAATGGAATAGATTGTGGGGTGGAACCCTGAGGCTTTTAGTCAGGGTACTCTGCTGGTGAAGCAGAATTCATCCCTGAGGTGAATCAGCAGCTTGAAAAAATACCTGTGTGATGAGTTCCCGGTCTCATGCGGCTCTGCTCCCCCAAAATCCCACTCACGGGGGGTCAGTACGTTCTTTGTGGGGCAGACAGACTCCCCGAGGTGGGCGAACAGCTTCGCGATGTTCCTGCCGGTGACTTCAGCCTCTGACTCAAGCAGGGAAGGGATTAAAGAGGAAAAAGCACCCGGAGCACTCGGCTCCCTCTTTCCCTCCCTCCCCGCCGGCTACCGGCGCTACCGGCCTTGCCCAGCTCCTCACCCGCCGCAGCCGCCGCTTTTCCTCCTCCCCAGCAGAGCTGCGGAAAACTGAGGGGGGAAAGAAAAGAACAATCATAAAAAAAAAAAAAAAAGAAAAAAAAAAAGAAAAAAACAACCTAAAAAAGAAGGAAAAAAAATTCTCCGGGGTTAATGGGAACCATGTGCTCATCGCATTCCTCTTTGTGCCGGGGCTGACGGGATCCCGGCGGGCCCGTCCCCCCAGAGCCCCCCGGCCCGGGGCCATCGGGGTGGCCGAGGCTCGAGGGGGGCATTAATGGGGGTCCCCCCTCCCCATGCAGCTCCATCCTGGTTTGGGGTGGCCACACTGGGAAGGAACGCCCCTGGTCTCCCTGAAATCTCCTGGGGTGGAAGCTCAGGTGGAACTGAGGGGGTAGGGGTATCCCTATACTTACGGGGTGTCCCCACAACCCCCAAAACTGGGATGGGACACAGCCCTCTGGAGCTGCACCTCAGCTCTGTCCCCTGCCCCAGGGACCTCTCAGAGGGTGCTCCGAGGACGCCCACGGAAAAAGGGATGGGATGGGAGTACACAACGCTGGGTGTGTCCCACCCCGAGTGGTCCCACTGTCCTCTTGTCCCTCACCTGGGGGTGGCCTTGCAGCCCCCCGGGCATCCCCCGTGTCCCACCGTGCAGCCCCACAGCTCCCTGTGCCCTACCCTGCAGTGCCCTGTCCCCTTTGGAGCGGTGGCCCCACCGTGTCCCCCTACCTGGGGCCCCCATTCCAGCCCAGGGAGAGTCCCCAGTCCCCTCCTTGGGGGTGGCTCTTGGTCCCCTTTTCTCATCCCAGGATGACTGCGGTCCTTATCCCATCACATGGGGTGTCCCGTGTCCCTTATTGGGGTGTCCCCTGTCCCCTTCAGGGGGGAGGATCCCAATCCCACACCTGGGGTGGTCCCTACCTGAGGGTGGCCCTGTCCCCTACCTGGGGGGAGTCGTACCTTGCGGGCGAGGTTCTCTGCCGGGGGGACGGGTGTCGCCTGCCCGGAGTGGCCCTGCAGCCTCTCGGGGGGTGACCCTGTCCCCGTGCCTGTCCCCTACCTGGGGAGCCGCTGCGGGTCCCTCCGTGCGCTCCGCGGGCGCGGCGGGGGCAGCGGGAAGGCAGAGCCGCCCGGCATCACCGCCCCTTCCTCCCTCCTCCTCCTCCTCTTCCTCCTCCCCCCTGCCTGCCCCACAGCCCCGGGCGGAGGAAGAGGGGGGCACATGTCCTTAGGGTGCCCCATTCTCCCCCCGAGCGCCCCACGCTCCCCAAAGAGCTCCGTGGGTGCCCCATGGCCCCGTGGGTGCCCCATATGCTCTGGGATTGCCCCTTTCCAGGTTTTCCTATGGACCCCCCGAGAGCCCCACACACCCTCAGGGCACCCAACCCCAGGGGGTGCCCCGTGAGCCCCCCATACACCCCCGGGGTGCCTGTGTACCCCAATACAGCCATAATATCTCCATATACCCCCAGGGTAACCCCTCTCCTCCAATACAGCCCCATACTCAAAGTGCCCCATATTTCTTCTGTGCACCCCCAGGACACCCATGTGCCCCCCTAGAGCCCCAGCATGCCCCATAAACCCCTATAGAGCCCCCCGTGCTCCAAACACCCCTAGACCCCCTCCTGCTCCTCCCCACATTGGGGGTCCATGCCCAGGCAGCCAGAACCCCCCTCCCCAAACTACACCCCACCTTCTCAGGGCCTGTTGTCCCCTGGCACAGCACAGCAGGCTGCAGGCAGGGGGAAACTGAGGCACAGCCAGAGGGTCACCCCACTCTGTGCCTCAGTTTCCCTTCCCAAGGAGGAATTTTACCCACCTCCCTCAAAAAGCTGCACTGCCACCATCCCAATTGCCTTCCCAGCACAATGGGACCCCAGCTTGCTCTGCCCTGGATTATGCTGGAAAAAACACCTTTATTTTCTGAGATTTATAACCCCTGGAGGCCCCTGACAGTGTGGCCCAGCTGCCAGCAACGATGGGACATCCATCAGCAGCCTGCAGTCCCACTGGGACCACAGGACAAACCCCAGCAGTGCTGCGACCTCGCAGAGTCCCCCCAAAAACCAGGGGCAAGGAGAGCCTTCCCCCCAACTCCTCCATCCCACGGGATGGGGTTGGACACCTTCCAGGAGCCCTTTTGGGGTTGGACGCCGTCCAGGACCCCTTTTTGGGGTTGGACACCTTCCAGGAGCCCTTTTGGGGTTGGACGCCGTCCAGGAGCACTTTTTGGGGTTGGACACAATCCAGGAGCCCTTTTTGGGGTTGGACGCCGTCCAGGAGCCCTTTTTTCCTCAGTCCCCATGGGGGATTTGTAGTGAGAGATTTTGGGGTGCCCAGCGAAGCCACCCCGAGTTTCTGCTGTCCGGTTCCTCATCGGGACGTCTCCCCCGATCCGGATCCTGCCCGACGATCCAGGCGAGGCTGCTGGGCAAAATCCTGTGTGGGATGGGAGAGAGGAGCCCAAAGGTCTCTCAGGGTGGCCCTGGGGGTGTCGCCAGCCCTCACCCCGCATGGCACGGGGGTGTCCCCTCTCTCACCTGCCTGCAGCAGGACTCCAGCAGCGCCCCGGAGTGCAGCAGGCACCAGAGCTCCCCCAGCAGCGACACCAAGACGTGCAGGATGTCGCTCCATCGGCCCACGGTGAGGAGGAGGATGAAGAGGCCACCCATCCTCACCAGCACGGTCCGGAACGCCGCCCCCCTGCCCGTGCTCTGCCGGGACTCCTCTGCGAGGACACGGCATTGGGGACACTGGGACCTCGGCAGCCCCGCCACGGGGACACCAAGCATGGAGTGACTTTATGTATAGCCCATGTACCCCCTATACACCCCAGTACATCCCATGTACCCCCACACAGACCCAGGGCACCCCAGGTACCCCCAGGACATCCCGTGTACTCTCTGTACACCCCAGTACCTTCTGTGTACACCCAGGATATATACGCACACCCCCTATAGACCCCCAGGACACCCCATATACCCCTGTACACACCCAGAATGTACCATATACCCCCTACAGACGCCCAGGATACCCCATATAACCCCAGAATGTACCATATACCCCCTTACAGACCCCCAGGATACCCCATATAATCCCAGAATGTACCATATACCCCCTTACAGACCTTCAGGACATCCCATATAGGCCCTATACACCCTGAGAATGTACCACGTATCCCCTAACAGACCACCAGGATACCCCATATAGGCCCTATACATCCCCAGAATGTACCACATATCCCCTTACAGACTCACAGGACACCCCATATACCCCTATACACCCCCAGAATGTACCATAAATCCCCTACAGACACCCAGGACATCCCATATATGCCCAGAATGTACCATATACCCCCCAACAGACCTTCAGGATACCCCATATGGGCCCTATACACCCTGAGAATGTACCATATATCACCTTACAGACCCCCAGAACGCCCCATATGGGCCCTATACACCCCCAGAATGTACTATATACCCCTATACACGCCCAGAATGTACCATATACCCCCTACAGACTTCCAGGACACCCCACATGGGCCCTAGACACCCCCAGAATATACCACATACCCCCTTACAGACCCCCAGGACACCCCATATATCCCCAGAATGTACCATATACCCCCTGCAGACCTCCAGGATACCCCATATGTGCCCAGAATGTACATATACTTCCTACAAACCTCCATGACATTGCATACATCCCCAGAATGTACCATATACCCCCTTACAGACCCCCAGAACACCCCATATGGACCCTATACACCCCCAGAATGTACCATATACCCCCTGCAGACCTCCAGGACACCCCAAATATCCCCAGAATGTACCATATATCCCCTTACAGACCCCCAGGATACCCCATATGGGCCATATACACCCCCAGAATGTACCATATACCCTCTACAGATGCCCAGGATGCCCCACATAGCCCTATACATCCCCAGCCTGTGTTTTATATACCACCTGTACCAGCCTCAGGACAGCCTACATATCCCCTGCATACCCTCTGCACACCCCATATACTCTGCATACATCCCCAGGACCCCCTATCTGCCCCTATACAGCCCCAGGTGGCCCTGAGTGGCCCCACACACCCCGAGTACATCCCACATACCCCCCCCCCCATTGCACCCCACACGCCCCCCAGAGCCGGGGCATCCCATCCCCGCTCACCCTGCATGTAGACGACCAGCAGGGTGTAGCAGATGCTCAGCGGCGTCCAGAAGCGCACGGCCTCGCCCGTGGAGAGGAAATCGCGGTTGATGAGCTCCACGGCGGCCATGTCGGCCACGGCGAAGGTGAGGCCCAGGGCGTTGCGCAGCAGGCGCGGGAGGCCGTGGCCCGCGGGCAGCAGCAGCAGGCACAGGCCGCAGTAGCGCTGCCGGCTGTGCAGCTCGAACAGGGCGCAGACGTGGCGGGCCAGGCGCCGGGCGTGCAGCGCCAGCAGCCCCGCCAGCCCCGCCGCCAGCGCCAGGTTCCAGGTGCGGTGCGGAGCCCCCTCCAGCAGGAAGGTGAGGCCGCAGGACACGCCGCAGCCCAGGGAGTACTGGCACAGCAGGTAGAGCTGGCTGCTGTGGGCGCCCTGCAGAGCAGAGCGGGGGGAGGTCATTGAATCAAGGAATCGGTTTGAGGACCTCCAAGATAATGAGCCCAATTGTTCCCCCAGCACTGGCGAGTTCGCCTCTAATCGTGTCCCCAAGTGCCTCATCCAAACACTTGTTGAATCCTTCCTGGGACCGTGAATCCAGCACTGCCCTAGGCAGCCTGTGCCAGTGCCTGGGCACCCTTCCCATGAAGGATTTTTCCCAATATCCAATCTAAACCTTCCCCGGCTCAGCCTGAGGCTGTTCCCTCTCCTCCTGTCCCCGTTTCCTGGGAGCAGAGCCCAACGCCCTCTGGCTGTCCCCTCCTGTCAGGGAATTGTGCAGAGCCACAAGGGCCCAACTGAGCCTCCTTTCCTCCAGGCTGAGCGCCTTTCCCAGCTCCTCAGCCCCTCCTGGTGCTCCAGTCTCTTCCCCAGCTCTATTTCCATCTCTGTACACACTCCAGCCCCTCAGTGTCCTCACCACAGAGGTCCCAGAAGTGGAGGTGTCCCAGCAGTGCCAGCACAGGGGACAAGCACTGCCTTGTGCCCACACTGGGATGAGCCAGGGGCCATCGGCCTCTTGCCCACCTGGGGACACCTGGCTGAGGTGCAGAGGGACCCATGCACCCCCTGCACCCACAGCCCCTCCATCCCCCGTGGGTGCTGAGCCAGCCCCCAGTTCCCAGCTCCATCCACACCATACCCCACAGTGCCTCAGTTTCCCCCGTGCCGTCTCACCTTGCCGAGGGAGAGGATGGTGCAGACGGCGCGCAGGGAGAACTCCAGCACCACCAGGGCGGCCACACGGGAGCCCACCAGGGCCAGCAGAGCCGTCAGCACCAGCACCTGCAGCGGCTCCAGCAGCGGCCGCCGCGCCGCCATCGCCTCCTTCTCCGCCTGCCTCTCGGGGTCACTGGGGACAGCAGGGGGGACACTGGGACCTCGCAGCCCCACCACGGGGACACCAAGCATGCGGTGGCCTCATGTATATGTAGCCCCTATACACCCCCAGTACATCCCATGTACCCCCTATACAGTCCCAGAGCATCCCAGGTACCCCCAGGACATCCCATGTACCCTCTGTGTACACCTGGGATATATATACACACACCCTACAGACCCCCAGGACACCCCACATACCCCTGTACACCCCCAGAATTTACCATATACCCCCTTACAGATCCCTAGGATACCCCATATGGGCCCTATACACCCCCAGAATCTACCATATACACCCTACAGATCCCAAGGACACCACACATACTCCTATATATCCCAAAATGTACTATATACCCCCTTACAGACCTCCAGAACACCCCTATACACCCTCAGAATGTACCATTTACCCCCTACAGACCCCCAGGACACCCCCTATGGGCCCTATACACCAAAATGGGGTGACAAGCCTTAGTGACATCCCCCTCTGTGCTGTGCAGCAGAGGCTGCAGCCCCTGCCCTGCACCCCTCGGTGCCAAGAGCCAGGGCCCAAGAGCAGATCCCAAAATCAGATCCCCTAAAACCAACCTTCCCCCCCAGAGGGGACAAAGGGCCGGCGCTTACTTTGCACACTGGATGTAGAGATAAACCTTCAGGAGGCTGCAGAGCACCGAGACGGCGCAGGCACCCACCAGCCCTGCGGGGAAAGGCAGCAGTGGGTCACCGGTGTCCCCTGGGCTGTCCCCAGGCCACCCTCGGGGTCTCACCTTGCAGCAGCGCGTCCAGCAGTGCCCAGCCCCACGCCAGCCCCGGCAGCGCCGGCAGCCAGGACCCCAGGGAAAACATCTTCTATGGAGAGGAGCCACAGTGCAGCCAGGCCCCGGCTCCAAGGTCCGCGGGGTGGAGGCGGGGAGTGGCTGCCCCCGGCTGGTAAATCATTACTGGGGCAAGCCAGGGCAGCTGGAGCTCCGGCCGGACGAGATGAGCTCCAGCTGCCCCGTGGAGGTGAAAATTAGGAGAAGAGGGATGTGATGCACATGGAGCGGCTCAGGGACCACCAGCACCTTTAACCCTCCCCATGCCGGCACTGCCGTTCTCCTCTCCACCCTGAGGCATCGCAGCATTTCAGGTCCTGTCCCCTCATCTGCACCACCCCAAAGACCCCAAGACAACACCAAAAATAGAAAAACCTCTTTATTAACATCGGTGGTGGTGGCAGGAGTCTGTCCTACAGCCCTGAGGGCTGCTAGTGCTGAACCATGTTCCTGAGCTTGTCCCAAAAGAAGAGGCTGAGCACGGTGTGGGGGCCGAGGCGAAGGTAGACAGCGCCGAGGCCCTTGTACAAGCCCAGCAGCCCCTCTTTGCTGGAGATTTGCAGGATACAATCCAAAAACCCTCGGTAGAGCTTGCCCTGGGGAGAGAGGAGCCAGCTCTGCCCCCCTGCCGGACGGGAAAAGCCGCGTGTCCCCCGTGCCTTATCCAGAATGGCCTTACCGTGCCGTCGGCGTCCACGGGCTGGTTGTAGAGACGCGTGCTGATCGTGTCAAAAGGTGTCATTGTCACAGCCACAGCCACACCACTCACCATGCCCCCCGCCAGCACCGCCGCCCAGCTGCCCTTCCTGAACCACTGCGGGAAGCGCCGGCATCAGCTCTTGCCAGCAACGAGAGCGAGCCCGGGGGGCCGCGGGCGGCCGGGCCCGCGCACGCCCCGCTCACCTGGCGCTCGCAGACCCAGTCCTTGGCCGAGGCGAAGGTGGCGAGCTGCACGGCCGAGCCCACGGCCACGCGGGGCACGGCGCCCGTCACCCCCCGCCACAGCCCCACCACCCCGTGCTGCTGGTAGATGCTCTTGAAAGCGCCGGAGATGCTCTGGGGGAAGAGAGGAAATTGGGGAAAACGGGGGAAAATGGGAATGGTGCATCCCACCCGGCAAAATATCCCACCCCTGCTGGTCCTTGGTGACACGAAGCCGCTGTTGGCTTTGCAGAGATCTCAGGGGGTCCGGGTTCTCCGGATTCGGTATCGCGGCCCCACGTGCCTGTCACACCCCCTCTGTTCTCGCACTGTTATTTTTAGCATCATTACGGGGCCAAGCGGCCAAACAACAGCTTTAAATTCCTGCTGACCAAAATAGCAGGGTCCCCGCTGGGGCCCGGAGCGTGCACGGACAAAGTGCCACCGAACCCTCTGTGTCCCCCCACCCCGACCCTGTCCCCACTCACCTCATGGTTGTGCTGGTGGCCCACGGCCATGGCCGACAGTGTCTGGGCTTGGAGGTGGGTCTTGACCTTGGGGGGGACAATGCCAGGTGACAAAACCCTCCAGTGGCCCCGCGGGACCGGCTGTGGTCCCCTCATTTTCTTGGCAGATTTTGAGGGGAAGTTTCAGCCCCTCAGACAGACGTGGGGGACACAGCTGAGTAACCAAGTGGCAACTCCAGACTTTGAATCCCGCTCCTTTTACCCCTCTCTCCCAGGGCAAAGGGACCCTGCAAACACCTATGGCTGGAGCTCTGCAACCCAAGAAACCCCTCTAAAATGGGAGGGGGGGAACGCCCACAATTTCTTTTGGGGTAATTTCCTTATGGGGGAGTTCTCTGCTTGTTTCCTATGGGGGATTTGGGGGACAAAGCAGGGGGAGAGCATGCACAGCGCAGCCCCACATTTTGGGGTGGGGGGGGATGAAGTGAAGCGGGGGAAGAGAGAACGCACCAAGCCAGTGTTTATAGGATGCAGCCAAGATGCCGAACCTTTTGGGAGATCCCCAAAACACCCCCCTCCAGAGCCCACGGCCTTTGGGACGGAGCAGCACTCACCAGGTACGCGGGGCTGCCCACGATGGCTCCCACCGCCCCCGCCACGGCCCCGGCGGCCACGGTCCCGCCGGGATACCCGGTCCAGCCGGCGTCCTCGGCGTGCGAATAGCAGTAGAAGCGGACGCCGTTCATGAGCCCCTGGTAGAGCAGCCCGGCCGCCAGCCCCTTCTGCAGCCCCCGCAGCCCGTCCGCCCGGCACACGGCCACGGCCGCCCGCAGCACCCCGCGGTACGGCCGCGGGTACGTGCCCGGGGGCTGCAGCTCGCCCTGCAGCTGCAGCCGCGTCTTCACCACCTCCAGCGGGTTGGTGAGGAAGCAGGCCAGGCAGCCGGCCGTGGCCCCCAGCACCAGGTCGGTCGCCGGGGGCACCCCCCCGGTGGAGGGGGGGCTGTTTTGGGGGGGGTACTGGAATTCCTGCAGGGAATCGGGAGGGCGGGGGGCGAGGGTCCCCGCCGCCATCCGGCACCTGCCCGCGGGGGTGGCCCCAGGCTCCACCTCCCCGAGCAACCGCAGGGAAAAAAAACCCGGGGGGAGCGAGAGCGAGCGAGCGCCGCCTCCTGCAAAGCAACCCCCCCCAATCCAGCCCCCAATTTGGGGAAGGGATGTGGGGCAAAGGTCGGGCTGGGGGTGCGAGTCCGGCCCCCCCCGACACCGGCGCGGCCCCGGCAGCCGCGTCCAGCCGGGCCCGCTCTCACGTGATGGTGCTGCCCCGGCGCAAATAGGGAAAAGCAGGCAAAAAAAAGGGCGGCAACATTGAAATGGAAACGGAGGGAGAGGAATTTTGGGGGCGCACGCAGTCACCCCCCCCGCTCCAGCCAGCCTGGGGAGGAGGATGAGGACTGGGAAACTCGCTGCGCTTGTGGCCGCGGTGCGGGGGGACTTGCAGAGGGTCCCGCCCGCCTCTCCCGGTGCTTTGAAATTGGAGCTTCCCGCGGTAAAATGCTGCGGGGGGTGGGGATGGCTGGGTCCCGCCCCCAGCCGTGGATTCCTATTTAGGGGCTGCGCAGGGACCCCCTGGTACCCCATGGCCGAGGCACCGCGGTGGTTACTGAGGGGCAGGACGTGCGAACCCCCCCGTATCCCAGATCTCCCCCTGCCAGCGGCTGCCCCGGTACCCCCAACACTTTCGTTTCGATGTCAGAAGTCAAGGAGGGTTTACGGCGACAGTGGTGATGCTGGGGGCTGGCCCTATGGCCGTTTCTTTCTCTTTTAGACTGGACTAAAGCTCCTGGATCCAGGGAACTGGGAATATCTCCTGGATCCAGGGATAAGCAAGGACAAAGCATGAAGACTCTGTGTCCTGATGGGTAATTCCCAGCTGAAGCCATAAACGTGTCCCACTGCAGGGTTAACGCTGTTGAGGAGCTCGAGGTGCACGTCCTCCCCTCTTTTCATCCAAATCCCCCCTTCTGCCTGCCCAGAGTCTTCCCACAGGCTCCAAAGTGATGGCAGGAGGAGCAGCAGCCCCAGTGGCAGAATCTGATGTGGGGCCAAGGCTGAGTTACCAAGGTCTGTTTATTCGGGGAGAGGGGAAAGGAAGCAAATGTATGTACATATACATTCAGTCACGTATGTTTCCTCCCAGAAAAAGGCCCCGTGAACTTATATTACATGAGAAGGTCTCCGGGTTATTATTATTGTTATTAATATTATTTAAAAGCTGGGGTTGTGCCCCAAAGTGCTCGTTGTGGAGCGCAAGTGGCGATGGGTCCTCACTGGCCTCAGATGCAGTGAGCTGAGGAGATGGGGACGTGTTTGGTGGCAGCCACATGACAATGCCCCTCAGGACACCTGAAGAACATGGGACTCCATCTCTTCTCCCCCAGTGCACAGGGTCAGCATTAAAACCACAAACCGGCTGCTGAGATTTCCTAAAACCATGTTTAAGCCAAATATTTGGCCTTGTTCCTTCTTCCTTAGCCTCAAATCTCCTGGACAGGCTGAGAGTGGTTCCATGGAGCCCGGAGGCCCCGGGCGAGCTCTCCAGGAGGAGGAGACGGGGCGGTGCCGGCTCCTCCTCCCAACACAGCGGTGATTGTAAGAGCAACAAAACATGCACGGTAGCGACTGAGTGTTCCCACCTCGCCCCGACCCTGTTCGAAAATGAACAAGTCCTCAGTCCTGCTCCCCACCAGAACGGGGATGCTTGTCCCAGCCCACACTGCTCCCACCCTCTCCCTCACTACTACTGGGACATTACTCTGTGAAAGGCAAATATTTTGCCCCGTGGCAGCTGGACAAGGAGGAAGGTGCAGGTGGTGAAGCGTCTGGCTGCTCCCCAAACCACGCCGGGTGTCCCTGGCTCGGTGGAGAGCGCGGGGTCCACGCTGCAGGCACGGCCCTGGTGGGGACCAAGCGATGGCAGGAAGGTTTGGGGTGCCAGCTGCCCAGATACAGGCCCTGATCCCCAAAACTGGCCCCCGTGAGCTGTCCTCCCCTGGGCAGGGCTAACACCAGGGGTCCCGCTCGGCCCGGCCCCGGCAGAGGCTGTCGCTGCGCTGCCAGGCGCTGTCGATGAGGCTCTGGGCATCCTCACACTTCTTCTTCACAGCAGCATCCAGAATGGCCTTGTGCTGGAGATCGACCTGAAACACGGGGGGAAGGAGGGGAACAGACAACAGTCACTTCTCCCTCTCACTGTAAAACCCACATGGACAGGCCACCTGTGTCATGGATATGGTGACAGTGGGGCTGACCCACATTCCTCCCACCCCCCTTATCACCACTGGGTGCTCATGGCTTGTCTTGCCGGCCCCCAAATCCTACATCCTGTGATTATATGGAACTACAGGAGCTCCCTGGCTCTCCTGCCCTTTGTGGGAAATCTGGGTTCACCCTCCAGGGACAAATTCATCCCTCTGCTCTCCCTCACTCGATGAGGGAGCCCCACATGCTCACCTGGTAGATGTTCCTCCACGCAACGTTCAGTGCTGACAGGAACCTCTCCAGTTCTGTAGTGCAACTAAAATAAAGGACCCAGGGGGGCAGGAACTCCTTGCTGTCCTGAGCAAACTCCTAAACACCGAGAGAGAGGCCAGGGGTCAGCACTGGGTGCTCCCCCAGCCCCGGGCAGCAGGTCCCAGAGCCCTGCCCTCACCAGGATGCAGTACTCCTTGCCAGCCTCCGTGGAGACAGCGGTGACATCGGTGAGCTCCGCGGTGCCCAGCGAGCGGAAGAAGCTGGTCTGGCAGTCCTCGTGGCACGTGAAAACCTTCTCATCTGTCAGCACCAGGCAGCAGGGAACGCACGGCGTCGGGGCAACACCCTGGG